GGGGACATTGGGGGGATTTGGGGGACTGGGGACATTGAGGGGATTGGGGACATTTGGGGACATTTGGGGACATTTGGGGGCATTGGGGGACATTTGGGGACATTATGTTTTTGGGGTCCCAGGAGGGGCTTTGAGGTCCCTGGATATTTTTGGGGTCCCGGGTGTTTTTTGGGTCCCCCAGGCCGATTTTTGGGGTCCCCAGGTGTTTTTGGGTCCCCCAGGCCGTTTTTGGGGTCCCCCAGGCCGTTTTTTGGGGTCCCGGGTGTTTTTGGGGGTCCCCCAGGCCGTTTTTGGGGTCCCCCAGGCCGATTTTGGGGTCCCAGGCCGTTTTTGGGGTACCTTGGCCGTGGCGTGGGCGCGGATCTCGGGGGTCCCCGCGATGTCCAAGGTGTCGTAGAGCTGCTCATAGACCTGGGGGGGACCCCGGGATTGGGGGGGGGGGGACCCCAAAATCCCAGAGCAGCCCCCCCGGAACCCCCCGAGGGGAACCTGGAGAGATTTGGGGGGACCCCGGGGGGGGTCCCAGGGAAGATTTGGGGGAGTTGGGAGGGGCCTGGAGGGGTTTTGTGGGGCCGTGTGAGATTTTGGGGTCCCCTGGATGGATTTTGGGGTCCCCAGGTGGATTTTGGGGTCCCCTGGATGGATTTTGGGGTCCCCAGGTGGATTTTTAGGTTCCCAGGTGTGTTTGGGGTGGATTTTGGGGTGCCCCTGATGAGTTTTTGGGGCTTCCTGGGGTAGGTTGGGGGTTCCCAGGTGGATTTTTTGGGTTCCCAGATTGGTTTGGGAACTCCCAGGTGAATCTTGGTGTTCCCAGGTGGATTTGGGGATTCCCAGGTGGGTTCTGGGATGGATTTTGGGGGTTCCTGGGTAGATTTCGGGGTTCCCAGGTGGGTTTTGGGGGTTCCTGAGTAGATTTTGATGTTCCCAGGTGGGTTTGGGGATTCCCAGGTGGGTTTTGGTGTTCCCAGGTGAGTTTCGAGGTGATTTTTGGGTTCCCAGGTGGATTTTGGGGTGGATTTTTGGGTTCCCAGGTGGTTTCGGGGTGATTTTTGGGTTCCCAGGTGAGTTTTGGGGTGGATTTTGGGGTTCCCAGGTGAGTTTTGGGGTTTTTTGGGGTCACCTCGCGGATGGCAGAGCAGAATTTGCTCTGCAGGACCCTCTGCAGCGCCTGCAGTTTTTGGGGGGGCAGCTCCCCACTGCGCTGGAGCCGCTCCAGCAGCTCCACGGCCCGGGACACGTCTGGGGGACCCCAAAACACCCCAAAATCAGCCCTAAGTCACCCCAAAAACACCCGAAAGTCACCCCAAAATCAACCCCAAAACAATCCCAAAACAGTCCCAGAAACAGACAAAAAAATACCCAAAACCAAAGCCAGAAACAGCCCCAAAAAGCCCCAGAAACACACAAAAATCACCCCAAAATCAACCCCAAAGTCACCCCCAAAAATACCCCCAGGGCGCCTTAAAACAGCCCCAAAAATGCACAAAGATCACCCCAAAATCAGCCCCGAGAGCACCCAAAAAAAGCGCCAGAAACACCAAAAAATACACCCCCAAATCACCCCAAAATCACCCCAAAATCAAACTCAGAAACACAAAAAATTCACCCGAAAATCAACCCGGAGTCACCCCAAAACCAAACCCATGAACACACAAAAAAAAAATCACCCCAAAATTACCCCCCAAAAAATTCCAGAA